AAATAGGAAAGTTGATTTTACTCAAAATTATGTTATCAAAACTTTTGAACAAACTCTTGCAATCAAAAATCAAAATACTGAAATTACTTTACTTTCAAAAGAATCTATTCAATAACATAGAAACAAATTTCAATTTTTGCATATTGGTCTTCTTCAAATTGCTCTTAAACCTTTGTTTCGACTAGGTTTAGACATACCTGCTCTTTTAACTCTGCAAGATAAAAGGCACAATCAATTTGAAAATTCTCTTCTCAAAGTTCTAGAATCAAATATAGAAAGTGGTCCAGTATTTTCAAATTGTTATCCAAATTTTTCAATCAGTCTTTTTGATGAAGATATTCTCAAAACTCTCAATCTTCAAATTCAAACTAAAAATCTTGATTTTAGTGATAGATCAAGAGCTTTTGTGGTGATTTTTAGAATTTACTACAAACTTTTGAATACAAATCTCAATATTCGAGCACTTCGTTCATCTCATCGTGATGGATCACTTCTCATGGAAGTAAATTCTCTTCATTCAAATACCATGGTTCCAAAGAGAATCCCTTAGAATCTTCAATCTAGAAGCATGGAATGGGATATTCTTAATGCTAATAAGATTGGTCCTTCTCAAACTAATCATACTCCAAATCAAATTCTTTCTTTTCCTGACGGAAGTGTTAGGATGAGTTTCAGTTCACAATCAATATCTAGTTCTTTCAAAATTAATAGATCTGTTTCTTCTCGATCTACAACTAGATCTAGACATAGATCTAAATCTGAAATCTCTTTTCAATCGGGAAGATTTTCGACCTCTAATGAAAAACTTAGAGATGTTGATTTTGGACCTACAATTCCAAAACCTCAATATTCAGTGGATAAAGAAGAATCTGAAGAATCGATTGAACCAAATTCTGAATTAGATTCTCCAACTCCATTTGACATGCTTCCTCCTCCTACTAAAAGATTATCAAAACAACTCAATGTTATTTCTTCAAATTTTGATAGAAGAAAAGAATTTCAAAATGATCAAACTCCAGCTATTAAAGCATTTAGAAAAACTCTTCGAAAAATGTTTTCAGAAGAAGAACTTGAATCTTACTGGGATGAATTTTTTAATTATCTTGAAGATCTAAGTTTCTTCGAATGGGTTAACTTCAAAGTTTTTGGAAAAAAGATTTCAAAAACCAAATCTATTCAAACAAATCGATCAAAAAAAATTTGGAAATCATCGTCTTCAAATGAAACTTTTCAATCTGAGTATCCTCCTCTTCAAAAAGTTGTTTTTCCTCATGGAGTTACTGAAGTTGTAGCTTCTCCTTTCAAACAAATTTCTGAGGATCGAGTTGAAAATGCTGCTGCAAAAACTGTTGATATAAAAAATCTTCAAGCTCAAAACAATTATACTATTATTGTTCTTCATTCTATGAGTTCTCAATTATCTAGAATTGAATTAAATTCCGAAATTGAGAATAAACCAAAAGACAGTTCTTGTATCCCTAGTGATTTAAGAACTTCTTACCGTAATCCTCAGAAATCAAAGATTGAAGAAAAGAAGCTACTTCTTTTCAAACCTATTGAATCTAATCTTTCTCCTAAATTAGGAAAGAGTTTATTTTCAAATTCTCAAGCTCTTGAAGAACTTACAAAACAATTTTCAAAACTCAATTCTTCAAAAAATATCAATACTATTGATGATTTTGAAGATCTCGAAAACCAATTTATTAACGAAGAACCTTTTCAAATAAACAAAGTTCAAAAATATTCAAAACTTCCAACATATTATCCTCGACCTACTCATCCTGATTTACTCTTAGAAGAAAGTTCTTTTAGGAGAAAAGTCATTGATACATATTCAGGTGAAGAAGTATATATATATATATATATATTTCTCAAGTCCACATGGAAAAAATTTCAATGCCGCAAGCTATTTTTCTTTTAATCTTCTTTTTAATTAAATTCAATTATTCGGCACAGTTGAGAATTGGATTAGTGAATTTGTTCATATGAACAAGGTTTTTTTTATAAAAACGTGCATAGCACTCTCCATTTAGAGATAGAGTCGTGCCTTTCTAAATATTATTATTGAGAAAAAGTCTTCATAAAATAACAAAAGCGTCACACGCGTCTCTCCATATTTCTCAGTTTTGGACAACATTTATTTAATTAATTAACCAAAAGCATTCGCCTGAAACTAAAAATATTAAAGCTACATTATTATTCTCCCCGTTACAAAAAGGGACAAGACGACTACTACGAGTTACCTCGGCATTCTATTTTAATTTATATATTTTCATTTATCATTGTTATCCTCTTATTGTGATATGTTTGGTACAATCTATTAGAAGATAAGAATAACAAAAAAATAAATAAAACTCATTAAATTCGATATCCCGCGAGATCCCGTCTAATCGGGTAAATGGGGACGGGTCACGGATCATTGCTCTGTAGCGGGTACGAAAAAGATGATTCTTGTCCCGCTATCCACTCTGTTTGAAGTTTACTACAAATTTAAATTTTTTATCAAACAAAAAGAAAGAATTATAATCATTTCTAAAGAGATCATGGATTGTTCTTAACAAATTGAAAAAAAAAATAAAATTGACAATTAAAGACATGAGAAAGTAAAAAAAATAAAAGATCGATATAATAATAAACATGGCAGTAAATAGGGAAGGGGACCTGCCCCCGACCCACTCCGAACCGCCTTAATCGGGTATGGGGACAGTACAAGATGACAAAAATACTTGATGGGAAAGGAGACATGAATGATCGACCTATCCCGTTGCCATCCCTATTAGATAGAACTGTAGGGTGCATTGACTAAAATGAATGTATAATAAGGATAGTTTTATCACATGACTCTATTTTCTAATCTCACCTTATTTAGCTTATGTTTGGGCCCCCTTTTTTTTTAAAAAAAAAAAACTCATTTTCAACTATCTATTTATCCATAAACTAATTTTACATGTAAACTTAGATTTTTTTCATACTTTTCAAACACAAATTTTTGAAAAAATAACTATTAGAAAACATATTTTCCCTAAAGATGGGGCTCAGATAGAGAGTTGAGATTTGTTGTCCAACGAACTTGTTGTTCACCCAATGATTTATTGACACATCAATTTAAATTAACAAGTCCAACTTTTTCTCTCACCATCACTTGTGCTTAAAAATAGGTGTAAACTAACGTACCGATTAGTCATTGATGGACAACAAGTTGGAAAACCATTTTTGAACAACAGTTCTCAACTCTCGTTCAGGAACTTAATATTGTATGACAAACATACCCACTACGAAAATTAGGCGTTATTTCCTTAAGTAGTAGATGAATTAAATGATAAGAATGGCTGATCATCCAAACCTCGTTGACATACAATTTTTTACGATGTAAACATTATTGATGCCAAATTAAAAATTCTTATAGCTTATAAAAAAAATGCTTAAATTGAGAGAGAGGTGGATGACGTGTATAATTACTTTTTTTTAGCAAGCTTTGACAAACTTGAGTTGGAAAAATAAGCAAAGGTGGCTTTAATGATTTTTTAAGCTTAAACAAATAATTGTGATTACAAGACAAACGATTATATTACACATCATGATTCAAATTAATTAGTCTATGGATACTTATCCAAATCCCCTATTAAAAATTTACACATAATCCACTTACCTTTATTAAAAACAATATTTTGGCGATTCTTGTACTTGAATCTCACCAGATTATTTGATCCTTGAACAAATCGATCTTTTCTTTGTGTCTCGTGTTTTTCGTCTCTCTTTTCTATCCCCGGCTTATAATTGTTTCTCGTTTTTTACCATAACAATATTTTGAAACAGAAATGGGCATTAATTCGAAAAGTACGGATCAAATCAATGATAAATAATTAAATTTTATTCTTCATTTTAAGAAAAAATTAAATTGGAAAATAAGTTCCGATTCACCCTATTTCCAAGCGAATCGATCAGTTCTATTAGTATTTTTCTATTTTAGAAATGTTATCGGACCAATTCTCATACCATTTTTCAGTTGGTATGACCGAATCGACCAATGCCATCGGATAATAGTGTCTTACAGTCACTTGTTCTCTTTTCGCTTTTCTTAACGTTTGAAAAACAATGGATTACAGCACCACAAGCACATAATCGGTGAGTGTGGAACTATGTAACATGAGCATTATCAACCGTAAATCACTTAATAAAATACTAAAACAATTCTAAAACGCAAGTCGATGTCATTGAGAAACGTAATTGTATCTCATTATATAGCAACCAAAAAAAGAGTTAATTTTCATTACTCTGCATTATATTTAACTCAATCAGGCTTGTCTCTTTATAATCTATTGTTAATCTCGATACCTTGTCACTCTTTGGTTTTCTCAATTTTGTCTATTTAGTTGACCACGGCGCGGGAATGCCAAGGTGGCTGTGGTTGGGCGTATGCATGGTATCAACATAACACAACACGATAGGCTTGTGGAGACTGAGAATCATAATAAGAGTTTCAACTTTTTCTTTGTGGATGGGATTTCAACAAGAAACTTGAGAGCAAAAAAAACCCATAAAATCCAATAAAACATTGGATTTTTCATGCATGTCTTTGTTGGAATTAACAAAGGTGAAAAAAAACCCATCTTTGGATATCCAAGAATCTTCCTAGTGAGTTCCTCTGCCTCTGCCTCTTCTTCTAATTCTTCTTGTCTGATTTTCGTTTAATACTATGGTTTCTGTTTTCTTGGCTGGAAATATCTTTTACCGATCTTTTCTATGCTCAAAATTTGTTGTAATGTAAAATATAAGAATCTTGATGCTGGATTCAGATAAGTGCAAGATCCAACTTGGTAGAATATGTAAAAAAAATTTCTCCATGGGCATTTAGTCATTTGCTTCAATTTAATATAGATTATCAACTGAAAATGTTTTGGTTACTTGTACAGACTGGGCTTTGACAGTGTACAACTTTCATACTAGATTGTATTTGGATATAGATTTTGCAATCTTGAGGTTAAGACTTAAGACTAGCAATGGATGAAGTTGTTCTTCCTCCTAATACAATTTTGTGTCCTCCATATGATGCCTTTATGGAATTTGATTACATGGATGAGCTATTGTTAGAAGGATTTTGGTTAGATGGATCTGAATTCTCACATTGCAGTGCTTCTACTCTGAGTGGTCCATTCGATCCTTCACTGGTATGGCCTAATCCAGAGGAAAGGCAAATATCAGCTTTTCATGACAATCTGTCGATTAATAGTCCATCCCAAGGACCAAAAAAAACTGCAAAATCTCATTCCATTGCAGGGAATGCTGCTAATGATGGGGGTTCTTTAGGTCAATCAGATCGTTATTTGGTCGAACGTTCCGAGCCGAGCAAAAGGTGGATTGGACAAAGGGCGTCAATATCGGTAGTAGACCGTTTGTTTTCGGCAATTGGGTACATAAAAGATTACTCTATAGGTAAGGATGTACTTATTCAAGTGTGGGTACCGGTTAACAGAGGTGGCCAGCGAGTGTTGACAACAAATGATCAACCTTTCTCACTTGACCTTAATTGCCCAAGGCTTGTCCATTATAGGGAGATTTCTGTGAATTACCATTTCCCTGTTGAGGAGGCTTCGAAAGGGGTAGTGGGATTGCCTGGACGGGTATTTTTGGGTAAGGTTCCCGAGTGGAGCCCTGATGTTCGATTCTTTACAAGGGATGAGTACCCAAGAGTCGGTCATGCACAACAATACGATGTTCGTGGAACCTGCGCCGTTCCAGTTCTTGAACAAGGTAGTAGCAATTGCTTGGGTGTCATTGAAGTGATCTTGACCAGGGAAAAGATGAAATATAGTGCAGAGCTTGAAAGTGTATGCAAAGCTCTTGAGGTTAGATTTTTTGCTCCTTTTCACTAGTTCTTTTACTTTATTTAAAAACATTTGATTTTAGGGAAATCCCAGGACGCAGTAGGATTTATGGCTCTACAACTATCAGAAATTCAATGCATAATTTCAGACCCCCTTTCCAAAAAATACGCCTGGTGATTTTATCAATTGTTAGAATTTTTTTCTCTAAGAAATCATGAATATGAAATAGTAGTACGTGCTGCTATTTGCAGCTCATCAAAAAAGTTTTAACAGTATGGCTTGTTACTTCCTGTTTTTACTGCTCTTAGTTCCTCATCTATTTGTTGCAAATTTTACTTTAAATCCTTCAGTGTGCAGCATCTCAAAGTTTTAGCTTTTCTAAGAGTAAGTACTGATCTCTTTCATCTGAGAATATACTTGTTCACAGCGTTACGTGTAGGTATTGGGACCAATTTCTGTTGCTATAATTTGATGTTAAAAAACTTGCTTTCTTATAGGCTGTTGATCTAAGGAGTTCCGAAGTTTCAAGAGTGCAAAACGTCAAGGTAATTGGATGGAATCTGCACAATATCATTTCTCCGTAGAAGTTACAATTTTTTTCCAGATTAACATGAATGGTTCTCTGCAGACGTGTGATTTATCTTATCAAGCTGCATTACCCGAGATTTTGGAGGTTTTGAGATCTGCTTGTGAAACACATAGATTGCCGTTGGCTCAGACATGGGTCCCATGTGTCCTACAAGGCAAAGGGGGGAGTCGGCACTCAGACGAGAACTTGCTTCATTGTGTTTCCACCGTAGATTCCGCTTGCTACATAGCAGATCCCAGTACTCAGGATTTCCATGAAGCTTGCTCCGAGCACCACTTGTTAAAAGGTCAAGGCATTGTTGGTAGAGCATTTATGACTAACCAACCTTGTTTCTCGTCTGATGTAACTGCTTATAGTAAGACTGAGTATCCTCTGTCTCATCACGCAAAGATGTTTGGACTATGTGCTGCTGTTGCTATACGTCTTCGGAGTATCTGTACTGGTTCGGCTGACTTTGTTTTGGAGTTCTTTTTGCCAAAGGATTGTACGGATCCTGAAGGACAAAAGGAAACACTCACTTTGTTGTCGAATGTTGTACAAAAAGTATGCCGCGCCTTACGAGTTGTTACGGATGAAGAGTTGCAGGATGAATCTGGTTCTCGAGTTTGTGAAGTTGCAAATCCTCCAGTAACTAGATCTAGTGAAGAAATTACAAAGGTGGACAAAGTGCATTCTCTGAGGCCTTCTCGTGATATAATGTCCTGGAATGGAAAACCAAGAGAGATCCTAGCTGAAATATCGTCACAACTGAGGACAGATCCACCGGATTCTAACTCAAGAGCAGGTTTTGCATTTGATGGAATCCCTTCTACATCCGCTGATGATAGCTCACCGAGCAAAAGTAAAGCTGGAGGGAGAAGACGGAAGAAAGCTGAGAAAAACATTACCTTGCAAGTTCTTCGCCAATACTTTGCTGGGAGCCTGAAGGATGCAGCAAAAAGTATTGGTGGTAAGCGATGTAGACTTCCCTTAGAACTAAAAATCTTCTGCATTATTTCCTTTTTCCGTAAAATATTTCACATTTTAGAGTATACTATCCTAGAATTCGATTTTTCCTGCCACTTTTATTTATTTATTGACATTTTTTTTATTCTCTCTATGAATTCAGTTTGTCCGACCACTTTGAAGAGGATATGCAGGCATCATGGAATAATGCGTTGGCCTTCTCGAAAGTTCAAGAAGGTTGGTCACTCCCTAGAAAAGATTCAACGCATGATAGACTCTGTCCCAGGTGCCTGTGCTTTGCAAATTGAATCCTTTTATTCCAATTTTCCTCAACTGGCATCTCCAAATGTATCGAGGATAACCCAGTTTGCAAATTCAAATCCAACCGATTGTCCAAAGCCATTAGGCAGGCAGCCTGAAAATGACATTTTTAGCTCCATGGCTGGTGCATCTAAGTCACCTTCCACTTCATGCAGTCGGAATTCGAGCTCAAGTCAATCTTATTCTAGTGAGAGACAGCAGAATCCTTGCACATTTAACATTTCTGGTTCAATGGTCCATGAAGAATCTGTCAACGGCCTGCTTAAACGCACAAGAAGCTATGGAAATCTGCATTTGTCAAGTGATGTAACAAACTTTGGTGAGCCTCCTAAACGAGAAAGTTTCCCACCTGCATGGATAGACAATAATACGCGATCTCCAGATGGAGATACTCAAATAGTAAAAGTGACATACAGAAGAGAGAAAATCAGGTTCCGCATGAAAAATAAGTGGGGATACGAAAATTTACTGCACGAGATTGCAAAGAGGTTTGATATAGATGACACAAGTGGTTTTCATGTCAAATACTTAAATGATGACTTGGAATGGGTATTATTAACATGTGATGCTGATCTGGAGGAGTGTATTGATGTTTACCGATCATCTCAGAGCCGAACAATTAAGCTCTCTTTGCTCTGTGATTCCCAACAGCAGGTTGGGAGCTCGTATAGTAGCAACGGTTTTTTGTGATTATAGTACATATAACTTGCACCTACAAATTTGAGGCTGGTGCAGTTTAGAACCAGACTTCATCCCTGCAAAGATTTCAAAGTGCAAGGTAAGAACTGTAGTCCATTAATGCATCGACAGTACATAAAGGCTATAGCAGTTTTTGTGCTCATGAAATAATACACTTACCGGGGTAATATTCCAGTAACATATGCTTACGTTTCCGGAAAGTCACAGTGGTTTCACACTAACATGGTATATGCCCGTGGAAACTTGGAAAATCCTTGAAGCCGAGCCGTGTATGCTGAATTCTGAGCAATGCACTATATCACCACATTGGATTTCTATTGGTGAATCTCTGTGTATATTGCACATTAATTGACTCTGTAAGTGTAAATTGGTACCAGTATATGGAAATACTTTATGTCCAGTACTTGCTGTTAAGCCATGAACAGTTCAACTGCAATCAGATCATGGCTATCCTTTAATCAAATTATATGAACCAAAATAACAGAACCTGGAGATAGTCAAATGTGCAAAAGATACTTTAATAGTGCACAAGATACTTTAATATCAAGATTGAGAATAGCGACCTAAGGGGTGTGTTGGGGGGGTTTCCATCTCCCTTGATTTGACAAGGGGCGCGGGTGCCTGATGGCTGCCGGGATAGAACAGAAAACTCTTATGGGACATATTGAATATGGCAGTAATGACATGATGCCGAACGGGCAGATAATAGGTGGAGAGAAGAGGCTCGCCTTTCTTCATATATACACGAACCAGTGAATCAACTAAGAAGCGTATCCTTCCTACCTTGTTTGCTCTTAAACGACTAACTATAAAAAGACAAAAGAAGATCCTAGGAGGAGAGCTGTACCCCGAATGGAACCATCGTCAATTAGATTTTAGCACGTACTTTTCATAAAACTTGGTCAAAATGGTAGACCAGAATGACCAGGTCCAGAACGACTGGGCACAGGCTGGCCCGCCTTTAGCAACGAACCATCACCTACAAGCCCCAAGAGAATTCAACTTCAAAGTTCTCTTAATGGGTAAACTGGGCGGTACAAAACATTGAAGACTGGAATTCAAAAGATATCTGTACATTTTTCCATTGTATTCTCAAAACAACATTAATTATCATTCTACTTTACATTTGAGCGTGCTATTTCCACGGGATAACTGGCTAATTCTATAAGCACCTATAGTATTCTAGGGAGAAAACGGAAAAAAGAAAAAAGAACAGCTCCTCTACAAAAAGAACAGAATTAGATTAGAACTGTGACGAAGTTGATGGCCGATCCTCTTGTTTTTCGATGAGAACACACCTCGATGGAGGACCAAACATGCTCAATAATACCTGAAAAAAACAAGTCACAAAGTCAAGACGCAGTGCGTGTTTGGTAAAGCTTAAAAATATTTACTTATAATTGAAAATGAGTTATTTGTGTTGTAACTCATGCCTTACTCTTGATTTAAGCATTTTTTTCCTACTTGAAAGTTAAAACACGTAATTTAAACATGTTTGGAAATAAAATGTTGGTAAGATAAGTTTAAGTAAATTACAGGCTGAAAGTAGTCATCACCTCGTATCCCAAATTATAGAAAATTTATGATGGTGAATAAATACAAAATTGTTCATCTAATTTTGTGAAGATTTCCAATAAGAAATGGCTTTGTCAAGATCATTATGAAAATTGAGATTATAACTAAAGTTTGTTGCTCACTTATTATACTTCCTCGGTAAAATGGGAATGTACCGTAATCGACACTATTAAGAAAGAAAATGAAGTTTAAATCTTGTTTATTATAATGTCTACTAACATTGTGGTACGTTTATATCTCCCACAAAAGAAGGATGAATTAGTCATAAATTCTTATTGACCCCAAAAAATAATTCTTAGAAGAAATTTAGATGATAAATACAAAGATCTTACAGGTAAAAAGACGAGCCCATGCAAGAAACCTAGTAGCACCAAAGAAAGGTACATTTTGAAATAGTAAACCTGCAAATCATAGAGTAAAGTTAGATCACTAGAAAAAAAAGGCGACTTTTCTTACATGAATCTTAATGCGTGAGAACAAATACCACGAAGACTTCGGTCTTCGAAAAGCAAAGAACAAGCACACCAACGAGCTTCGTGAGCGTGATTCCACTGCCAAATAGAAAAAGATGAACTCATCAGTTGAATCATTATGTATTGATGGGAAAAGGAAATTGCATCCAGAAGTCTTCTCAAAAGATTGGAAAAGATTAGCTTTACCAATAAATAAGTTAATTTCTTGAATTCGAGTATGAAACTGAAAGTATATGGACATCAAGAATTTTTATCTGTTGGAGCGTAGAGAATTTAAACCTTGGCTAAAAGCTCAAGGTACATTTTTGGTTGCATTTGTAGAATAGGTTCGGAGATAAAAGTTAACTGAATGAGTGGTAGAAAAGGATTCATGTAGCAGACCCATGTTTTGACAAGCTTACAAAAAAAGTAAAATTACTTTTTAGGAAATTAAGTAAAGACTTGCTTTTCAAAATAAATTTTTCATCTAAAAATCTTTAAAAAATAAAATAAGCAATAAAAAGTAATTCTCAAAAGCTCAAATATGCCAGGTAATTTTTATTTTTTTTAAAGTAACTTCAAAGTAACTTCAAAGTAACTTCTAAGCTTAGCCAAGCATGATGCGTCACTTCCGACTTTACTGCACCATACTCCATCAAAACACAATCGAAGCAACTTTTCCAAAATAATGTGCAAGTCAATTCATAGTGAATTATGCCTATTCCTTCATCTGTGTTTACTGCTTGAAATATATATTACAGATAGGTCATAATTTCGTGCTGTATGAACAATGTAAAACAGGAAATCAGCAGCTCTGGGGAAGCACGATCAGAGGGCGGAATAAGTTGTATGCATCCAGTGAATAAGTAAATTAGGGCATGCATCATTTATAAATACGGTATGATTACCAATAGAGACTAATTTCTATGTGGAGAGAGAAGAAACATTTGATGCCGATATCATTTATTTCCTACTGTGAATTACTATTGCCCCAAACTAAGTTGTAAAATCAATTGATACCATACATTATGCTATAAGTTGTTCATCAAACGTTTTTCTTGTGCAAATGCTAGTGTTTCTTTGAGTTGCATTGCATTACTTGCATTGTCTATATTGTTTTCTCCTTCATCCCCAAGCAAAGTCAAACCAGACAGCGATTTTGGAGACTGAGGAAGTAAATGCTGAGAAATGGCCAAAAAAATATCTACAAAAGCTTCTCAAACAGAAAGAGAGAGGGTAAACCTGAAAACGGAAGCCCCCATTGTTGTCAGAGCCTCCTTCATGCGTTGATTTCTATCTCCACTACTTACCTGGTATGGAAATGTAAAATTTGTGTATCATGAGACTCGCATATTAACCAAAGAAAATGGTAATCAAGAAAAACACACGCTAGCAGATCATACCCCCCCCCCCCCCCCCAACACCCTGACCATAACCCCTCACAGACCCAAAAGCATGCACGCATGCACTTGCTCTCAAGAAAGAAATATCATAGATAGATACTCATAAACATTATATTCAGAATTGAGACTTACCAAGAAAGCATGTGTAATATGCACACAAAACTCGACGGCTATACCCACAGACATTATGAGGTTAACAACAGACACTGCATTGAGTTGAATATTCAGAATTGCCATTACACCCTGCAGTGTACCCACAAGTACAAAAAGTTAAAAGTTGTTATACGGTTCTATACGTCAAATTCTTGTTTTGAAGTAAAAAGGTTCCCAAACAATTGACAAGAAAGAAACATACCATGATATCCACAACGATCATTATCAACACAAGAAGAATAATAGCTGAAGTCCAGAAACTAAACATAGAAAGAAGTAAAGAGATAAGTAAATGAAAACGTTTAAACATGGAAAGTAACAATATTAATTAGAAAACTAGGGTAAAAATGCTGACCTGCATGTGATAACTAGACAAACGATGAAAACAGCACCTGTCAAATTTTAGCGAAACTTAGTATTTTTGAGATGGATAAAAAAAATTATCAAATGGGTGAATATATGTAGTAAACAGAATGTCCTATTAGAAGTTTGGGGTTAAAATATATAACTATGTGACAAGTAAAAAAAGGTTTCTCCTAAAATATACTGTGCTGTTTGAAATCGAGATATTCAATTTTTGTATAGATTGTTGCTGATCAAATAGAAAATTAAGTCGATTTGCCTGCAGGTGCAGTTGGTTGAAAAGAGTACAAGTCTATGAAAGGTTCTAACCAGTAGCTATAGCTAGGTTGATTAGTGCCGTCTTCCATATGTTGAGATATTGCTCGAAGAACATATAAAATACAGCATATGGGAACACCTCAATCTGCATTGGAGAAACCATGTCAGAACAGGAAATAGCATCAAGTTCATAATTATGAAGATATCTATAATGCAGCATAGCATTGGTACTGTGCATGATTGTATGTGCGTATTTCCAAGCACACTTGTATGTGTGTTTGGTACATAGTAGTGGATATTATAATGAGCAAGATTTCAGCTTCCCTTTGTCTTTAATACTGTAGGGTGTTATCCGATCCTCCTTATCAAACATATCGTACGAGATAGATAGACAGATGAACAGTTGGAGATACAGAAGAGAAATTGTGTACTTAAAAAATATAATGCTCCTGTTTGGCCCCCATTTTCTAAAATACATTTTTTTCCCAAACTCATTTTTAACCACACGTTCTCCAAAAAAATCATTTTTCACAAAAATCTATTCTCAAAAAACCTCTACCAAACAGGGGCAATATTAAGGAAGAAAAGTGTACAACAAAGTTTTGCAGTATAGACTAAAGACACATTTTTCATAACAATACACAAATCCATTGCTAAAATGGAAAGAAATAAGAACCAAAATGCAAGATTTGTGGCAGAAAAGAAGTGGAACTACGGACTCAATTCTCAATGAAAAAAAAAAGACAAAATATGAACAACCCAGTTGCATGTCTATATCTAATAATTTATCGAACTAGCTACACCTGATACCTGCTCATGTCAAATTAAATACATACCTTCAAAGAATCAGACATTTTTGAACTAAAATCTCGTGCAGCGCTCATTGAGTTGACAAAATCAGACTGAAAGAGGAAAAGCCAAGACTCAAAAGATCAAGTAACAGAATTAAAACACTGTAGAATAAACTCTTCAGAAAGAGTTCTTACTTGTTTATTAAGTGGTGTGTGATATGTACGAAATGCTGAAGCTTGAATGATTCCATCCTCGTAGCCTGATGACACATGGAAGCACTTAGACTAAGGTCAAAGAAAGTTGATAAACTATGTTATACTTAGCTTTCCAGTTGAATTTTTGCATCTTTTATAAGATCTTCTAAAGTTCAATAAATCGTAACCATTGAATGAGCATGTTAACCTTTTACCAATAAGATATTCTAAAGTTCAGTAAATCCAGGGGCGGCAGTGCTGGGCTAAAGCCCAGCCCCTGCCTCCCTACGCCCCTGAATAAATCATAACCGTTTAATTAACAGATTAACCTTTTACCTTTAAGCTCGACATTGTTTGTGTAAGCCCCATTTCCACCTTTTGCGCAATCAGAAGAAGGCAAAGCACTGAGGAACCAAGGAAGCTTCTCCCTGAATTGTGCTGTGGATGGACGTGCATTTTGTAAATCTGAGCGGCGGAAACACTGAATAATTCCAATATTAGTCACTAAATGATAAAATAGGAAGTTATTAACTGTTAGTTCATGATCTTTATACTCCAAAATGGGAGGGAGACAAGTAGAATAAGCACAAGTAATTACAAGTGCGTACTTTATTTTTACACTCCATGATCATTTGAAAAGTACAAATAGTTTGAAGTAGAGGGGTGCTCTATCTCCAGTAACAACATTATACCAACCAACAATGATTAGATGAGTTAAATTACCGTTGTGCAATCCTTGCAAACTGTGCTGAGGCCACAAGATCCATCACTTGACGAACAACAAGGAGGCTGAAAGAATTATTTTATCAGAAACCAATTATGTACGATTCAACTGTAAGATGATTGCAGAACAGTGTAATTTCCACTTCAGGTGTAACCAGTTTAAGACAAAATGAAGAGTTTAAGCATTTGTTGTACAGAAAAGTGCATGATAAAAGCAAGAAATAAAGAGACCTGATCATCAGGGGGGCAATAACTCCCATTTGTGAATTTCCTACAGCATCCAAAAGCTTCCGGAGAGATCCAAACAAGAAAATCATCAAGCCACGAAGCCGCGGGTTTAGCAACATAACTCGACTCCGGTACTAAAGAAGCTCTTGCAATCTGCAGAAGTTGGATTTAGAAATAAATAATATAATAAAGATAGAAGAAGTAAAAATAAATAAATAAATAAAATAAAAAATTGGAGATTCTTAAAGAAAATTAAGTTCTAACATCTACTACTAGAACTTAAAGACAACCTGATATGCCCAAGAACAAAAATCTTGTTTCTTCATTAAATGGTTATTATGGTTATATGTTCTTAGTTGACTAACTCCTCATGTAGAGAACAGAGTGTTGATAAATTCCAGAAGAAGTCTTAGTTCCTTAACGAATAAACTCTCACTTACATCCAAAGTAAAAGACCTATAAGATCAAGTAAGAATGGAAATCATGTGGCACACTATCCTTGTTCAAAACTTAAAAGTTGGAAAATTTATCTAATGCAAGAGATAAAACTTTAATGGCGTGTTTGGTAGGATAAACTGTACAGTACTGGAAAATAATGAAGAAGTTTCAGAGTCAAGTCCTGGACTGAGTGCTAAATGTGCAATAAATGCATATGATGCACCCCATCCTTCTGGTTTATGAGCTGAGGGGAATTAAGAAGGAAAATATCATAGTTGTTCAAAAACACATCAAACTACATTTGCACAAGTCACAATCTCAAGTTCAAGATCTCTGATCAACAGGAAAAGGCAATTTCAGAAAAGATCAGATTAGATAAACTTAATCTTTTGTGTACAGAGTTAAAGTTAAACTGAGGCTAGAAACTAAGTATCTTTAACTCTGCACAAGACAATTGTTTTACCTCATTTAAAAGAGAATTAGAATCACATTGGCTTATGGAGCAAAGCTGGTTGGTTTGTCTTGAATCTGAACTGAAGAAAATAAACAACACAAACATGTTAAGAACTTCAATACAACGGAAAAAATAAATATCAGGTCAGCCATAAATGTTATCCTAGTATAAGTGACTCTAGTAACACTTTCCATAAATACGTGAAAAGGAAAACAAAGAAAACCAGCGATGGAATATACATGCGAACGAAGTATGGCCAAAATACCTATAGTTGTAGTTTTTCACGACAAAGTACAGTGGTGGTCCTATTCTGAGATACTCTGAGACATTATTAAAGTAACCCTGTAAGGAGAGAAGACATATACGTAAATGCCACCTTTCAGAACACCATGAGAAGATCTAATTTTTCAAAGAACAAACATATTCAGAATACAAGACCTGAAGATACGAGTCTCTAGGGAGAACAATTTGCTGTTCTAAACCAGGTTGAATTCTTGTACATAAGGCCTTAGAGGATCAATAAGGAAAAATTCCCTTTTAGCCGCAGAAAAAAGTTGCTACTAACATATAAAATAATCCAAAGTTACAAGAATGGCAGAAAAAAGGGTGGAGCAACTTACAATGCTTGCCAATGCAAAAGCAACAAAGACAGAGATAACTGCTATTTTAACACCCCAAATATTCAGAAAGGGAGCGTGAATTTCCTAGAAAAAGGAAACCCATTTGTTATTACTTGACAAAAAGAATGTAAACGTATAGACTATGCAAACTCAAAAACCAGAAAACTAATTTAGAATATTCATTGACTCCATAAAACTATGATCACATTTGCACAGAAGTTGACCACTCCTAGCTTGGTTAGGGGGTGGTTAAAATTTTTCAAGTTCTAGAACCCCTCTGCTATTTTTAATATCCAGAAAGGCACCTCAAGCTCCGTAACAGATAGGTAAAACAGATAAAGACTGGTTATACACAAATATAAGGTCCAATATTTTTAAAAATACTAGTGCGCTTAGACAATTATAAGTCATTCTTGGTACAAGTATAATAGACTCACTGAGCATTTTGTCATACTGCTAATCAGCATAGTTAAAGAAACGTCAAGGGTCTGATTGCTGCTTGTTTATTGATTCATTCACCAAACAAATATCCAAGTCTTTAGGAAGAAAAAATAAATCAGGCACAAGAAACATGCAAGATATCTCTTACCTTCATATATCGAGCTAACAGTCCAGGTTTATGAAGATGACTGCCTATAATATCATAGATATAATTTCCTTAAGCTCAATGCAATAAGAGGTAATAATAACTGAAAGCACAAAGAAGAAAGTTAGTCCCAAGTCATACCTTTATCGGGATCAGGATTTGAACCAGAGAGTTTTATACAAGGAAAACAATCAATCCTGTTGTCCTCAGCTCTCAGGAAGTCAAAAATAATCAAGGCAACAAAAGCAGTAACTTGCAGAAGGAAGTCCAACATAACAGCAAGTGCTGCAAATAGAGTGTATAGAGTAGTTGAACAAGAAGACCAAGCAAGTATAACTTATAAAGTAGACTATAATCATACCAGGTTAAAAAAATATCCGTGATCGCTAAACTTTTAGCAAATTTTATGTAGTCACTAAACCCCAAGTTGTTTCAAGTTGGCCACTGAACTTGAACTTTGTTACAATTGGTCATTCATTCTGTTCATGACCTAAACTTTGTTACAATTCAAGTTCAATGGCCCAATTATAACACATTTTAAGTTTGGTGGCTGACATGAAATTTTGCTAAAAGGTCAAGGACCACTAATGTTTTTAATCCCATGAGCTAAAGTTAATGAGACAATGATACTTCCTAAAGTTTAAAATAAACACTTCTAACCTGCAAACATGGAAAAAACACGGCAAGCTGGCATAGGAATAAAACTTCCAACCGCAAATGCTAAAACCTCAGATAGACTTGCTAGTGTTATAGATGGTCCAACTTCTACGAGTGCATTACTAATTCGTCCCTCTAAAGGCAATTCTGACTGTTGCCGTTTAACTGCTTGCACCAGTATGCACATGTTGTCTACCCCAACCTGATAGATACAATGGAAAAGTTCAAAATTGAATCCCTCCCAAATCCCAGTTATCAGTCCAGAGATCTGAATGAACATATCCTTTCTAGAATAAGAAGTAAACAGAAATATGTAATAAACAACAATGTGAAATTAAGTCACAGGAGGATCCAGTGGAATAGAACTTACAGCCAAAACAAGAAAAGGGATGACTTCCATTATTATAAGTGTTGATTTTATTCCAATTGCACTGAAAAACCCAACAGATCCAAGTACAGAAAGCAGGACAAGCATAACTCCCGAAAGACCGAGCAATACCTGAAACAGTAGGCGTAACAGATATCATTTTAATATTCGGATCAGAAACTGACGTCCTGATTAAGGACAATATCTTTAACAAGAAAAATAAGAGATGAAAAAATAGTGCAAAGATTATTGAGTGCCCTAAGGATGTCAAATACATTCCTTCTCTAGATGGTAATATAGAGATAAGGTAGGTTAAATATCTTTTCTTCTTCTATTTTCCAACATAACTGAGATATGTACTCCAACAAAGGTGAAATTTAAAGGATCAGGTAAACAAATTTAAATTTATACCAATTATGCATTCAAAAGGACCAGTTCAAGAAGTTTTACTACATCATCTCAACTAGAGTAAAAAGAAAAAAAAAATGCTAGGCTTACTGATTTCATTTTTAAATGATCACTTTCTCTACAAATTACAACAACAACATTACAGCTAAGAGTTCAGAATATAAGGCGTCGTGTAGACTGGAAAGCTATAAATGTTTTTAGTGTTACCAAAGGAATTTCTGGCTTGTGTCATTGGAAAATGTAGAAAGAAACAGAGAAAACAGGAAGATCCTTAATAGACTAAAAAAGTTGGAACAAGTTAATAAAATTAAACAAGAAGAGGAGTCACCAAAAGTCAAAGTACCTTAATTAAACATTAAAAGATTTGAGAGATAGATGCAAGTACACAAAAGGGTTTTCTATATAAACATACCTTAGATGAGATGTAGCACGAGGAGAAACGGGGAGTATCTCCCAGAGTCAAAGATATGTAAGCAAACATTACAAGATAGCTTATCTGACACAGAACACAAAATATATTAAAAGAATACAAAGTAAGCAGCTGGTATGAGAATTAAATTAAATACTCATCCATATTGATGAGCAGAACAAATGCTTAACATATTTAAGGCATGAGTTTGATTCTCATTAAGAAGAAAAAATTTCCACTTCTTTAGAACTAAAGACATAAATTGATAAGAATAGCGGGATGAAGAAAGAGACTTTCATTTCCCTACCAAGATAGTTATAGCATCTGCAGTGCTCTCTCTTTTTAGTTCTTCCTCAACAGAACTTTCCGATGAAAATGAGAGTGTTAAGTTTTTAGCCAGGACCATTGGCAAGAGTTCGTCCTGTATAACAGAATTGGATGAGAATCCAGGCCATTTCAATGAACACGTACACTTTAGGGCATTCTGTGAATTATCAATACACAGCCATAAATCCAATTCGAAATTCCTTTATTCATGGTCAATGTCAATATAATAATTCAAGTTTACATTAGTGTGCGTGAGATCATCTCGACGCATTTTTTACACACACACCTCACAGACTACAAAGAAAACATAATTAGAGAATAGGGCTTTCAGTTAATGAAAAATATATATGAAAATGATTGCAAACCTTTGCTAGCTGAATGAAGGCTTTCTCCCATGCCACTGCCCTCTTAGTATCATTCCCATCCTTATCAATTGCGTTGTTCACAGGGTAGGTCACAATGAATGCAGAAGCCTGTGTCAGGAAAAATATAACTTGATTACTGTATACCTCATTTATAGAAGAACATATTGCAGGGACGTAAATTACCTCCAAATAGTTATTTCCAGAGAAACCACCAAGAGAAGTGCTTGGATCAAGTGGAGCTTTAAATGCGCTCATACACGTTTCCGCTGAAGTATAATGCTAAAAGAAACCATATAACAGATAAGTATCTCTGAAGAAGATAAAGGTCAAATTAAACGCAAAGCAAAATGAAAAACAGATTTAGAATATCATGACATGAAGATGGAGATCACATAACATACCTGAAAACAATATTCAACATGTTCAAGACCCCCAAAGCCATCATAGTTTGCAGGATCCATCTTGAAATACTGTCACACCAAGTAGGTTTAGTTAGTTTCAGCCATGGGTAGGGTAATAACACTAATATATCCGAGCAGAAATTGTTGGAATACATGCAAGAGCTTTGTCATCATAAAAAAATTATAATTATTGATGCCTTATGAATATTAGCATAGGGATTATTGGTATCCTGTTATTGAGGTTTTGTTACAACGGGGAATTCAAATCTTTCTGTTACTCTGGAAAAATGACCAAAAAAAAAAAGGAAGTGCTTGAAATTCTGAAGGATTTATAAAACCATGATACCTGAAGAACATTCTGAGTTGCACAATCTTTGCCGAGGGGCTTCATGCAAATGTCGGTCAGAGATACCATCTCACCAGAGAAATTAGCTTTAATAGCATCTACCTATCAAAATAAGAAGATATATACCCCCCCATAAGAATCTTTTGCTTCTAGTAAAGTACGACATAATTTTTTAATATTACATAATTAAAGTAATGCCTTCTCATTACATAAAAATAACAGTAAGTCACCTTTTTCTGTACATCAAACAGTAACTTTATATTGTTTTCTGTCACAATTGTCGGTGCTTTTCCGCCTGTGTCTGGGATTGTGGCTATTATGAGCTGCAAAATTTCAGGCTTAGTATTTCAACCGGTGGGGTGGAGGTGGGGGAGAGATTTTGAACTTTCCTGACAGCTAGCAACAACAAATTACTAAATAAAACAACCTAAATAGATTGGATTGGAGCAGAATTCTCTGGAGATGTCTAATAAAATAGAAAGACACTGGATCAATGGATATATACAAAGGAAATGCACAAATTGATACAAAACCTGCTCGATTCTGTAAAAGGGGGCAAGGTGATTGTCAAAATATTGTTTTTCTTCGGCAGCTCTACTCCCAGGGCCTACCCATAGCTGAAACATTAGTGATATTAATAGTCAATCACAATAGAACCAACCGATTTAAAAATATAGAGCATCATAATGAACACTAAATAAAACTTATGTCCAAAGATCTAAGTCAAGTGATATGACATGTGAAGCATCTCAAAGTAGATTGACCAAGAACAATAATATTGATTGGGATTCAGACAAAAATTAGCATGTCTAATGTGAATTTGAATTAAAAAGTGAAACAAATGCCATAGACACTTCAAAGCTTCACTTTGTAATACCTTCTCCGGCCTTGTCTCTACTTGGAAACGAATAAGACCTAAGCAAAGCACAAGAACAATAGCCAGTGACGAACACAACACAAGCATTGGATTTCTAGCAACCCATGTTCCATATCTCCTGAAATGGGAATGTAATCCACAGTCAAATAGTCATTCTTAAAGAAATATCCTTGCAGATTCCTCACCAGTACTGGTTTAAATGGTATGGTGAGTGACCTGTAAAACTTTGACATGTATCCTTGCACGATTGAAAGTTGAACGCCATTAGAAATTTGAGGAACATCCTCAAGCATCTGGTAATTGGAAGGAGTAAAAGAAGAAAAAAAAATTGTAAAGATAGGTGGACTTTAGAGATGATCTATAGAGAACTAAAATATGAAATTTCAAAGATGAAGAGTAAAAGAGCAGGTTTTTTTTTTTTTGTAAAGATATTATCCAAATTAATCACATTAATTTCTACACGTATCCGTTGCTTCCAAATATAGGATATGATGCAAAGAACCTTAGAAGACAGGCGAAATTACTAAAAAGGTCAAAGTCAGAGGGAAATAGTCTTGAAGCACGGACGGTCCTCCTAGGTGTCATGTCTATACCCGACATATATTGGACAATGAAACTCCGGGACATATATATGTGTCTAGCTTGCTTCAAAATTTTGTTTCAACGTGTCCATATGGAGTTTTATCCGTACTTCATAGGAAGCTTCATAGGAAATAGAACTCAACAAGCAAACAAATCACTCAGAAGTCATGAAATGGCATGCACCTGCATTGGTATATTGTCGTCTTTCTGCCTGTTTACTTGACGAACAACACCACCATTGGTGACATTAACTAATGGTTTTGTTCTCGAATCAGAACTTCTCCTTTTTTTATGGACGAAACCCCACCCAAGAAACGCAGAGACTAATATAATATACAATAATGTTACAGCAACATCGACACATTTTGCCTGCACCAATCAAAAGAACATTAATTTGAAATCAGTTAAATAAATTTATTACTTGTTTGGTATGAAGTAGTGGACAAAACTCGACAATATAATGAACAAGATTTTAACTTCATTTTCTTTAATACTATCCAATGTTACTAACAAACATGTCAATAAATATACAGCAGATTGTGCTCTTTCAAACTTCTTTAGTCATGCAAATTATTAAACTAAACTAAAATGCATTAACACGTCCAAAGATACACGTCTCAGACAAAATCAGTGACAATCCAAATAGAGCTTTCTCTCACCTTAAGAGACCCTATTCTCACAGAACATGAACCTTCCTGGTGAGGAGAAGAAGAGGCTGAATTTGAGCAGACGGGAGATGAAGGACAATCACCACACGAACAGCCTAACGAAGTGTCACCACATGAATATGTAGACACATTCATAGGTTTCATTCCAGATGACTCGGGAGCACTAGGCGACAGATTAATAGCATACGGCGATCCTGGCACACCAAGAGGTGCTTTTCTACCAATAAAAGCATACCACTCTGCCAAAAAAATTATTAGCCAACTTTTTAAACTTAGCCAAACATGAGCAAGGAAAAATTGTAATGACAAACTAAAATAACTTGATGCAATTGCAAGAACGCAAATGCACACTTGCATGATTCTGTGTGGGTGACAAAACAGGGGGAAATCGATTACCTCTAAAATTTTTGGCACCAGCACCAATGAATTCTATGGCTCGAGTATTCATAGTACCAAATTTAACATCCTTGCAGGATTCGAACATTCCTTCACCAAAAGTGTCAGTGATGTAAAAGTCAATTCCATCGACGGTCAAATTATTTCCAACCTGAACAGAACATAAATACAAGAGAAATAAAAAGAACGAAAGAAAGCCTGAGAGTCCAAAATGGAGAAATTCTTCTGGATAAGTCAAACAACAGAGTGGTCGTGCGGGGTAGGTAGGCAATGTACAACCAACTTGTCTAAAATTAAGCTGGTAAAAAGGAACACGTTTATTTATTTGAATTGTCTTTAACATTCTCCTCACATGCTAATTAGATTCAGTTTTTTTAAAAGGCCTGTCATGTGCACAAATTTCACACAAACACACACTTGCATATAATTTTAATTACTGACCTTGGAAATGGAAGTCACGTTGATAAACTGACTCTGATTGGGAGAACATGTAAGCTCGCAGAATAAATTCAAAAAATTTCTCAAGCATGCTGGACATCCTACAAGAAAAGGGATTGCCTGCAATAAAAATGCTACGACAAATTAAGTTCATTTCTTATAACAAAGATTGAGAGAAAAAACCAGTAACAAGAAATATTTGATAATAACCAACACAGTCCTTTCCATATTTTAATTTTATTTTAGCAAAAGCATATACTGTATTTGAAAAATCAGCTACAGTTGGCCAATTATGGCAAGAAATAAAAAGATGGAACAATTAATCTACAAAAGTGATACTAGTTTTTAATGTAATAGTCTCACTTGTTGGACTTGCGACCGTAAAGTCTCGAACTGAGGCTCTGTACAACAGACATTTCCAGTTATAGTTGGGCACAAACTTTGAATCTTTGCTGAAAGTAGGTCGTCTGGCTGTAAGCACAAGTAAGAATAAACAAAACATCAAGACACATGAAACTTTAATACAGTAAAGCATGTTTAGAAAGTAGTAATGGACAGAACTGGACTGGACAATACTGTAAGTCTATAAAAGGAGATTTAGCTCATTTTCTTGTCAAGCAGTATGTAACAAACATATGGAACATATTATGACTCTATTCAACTAGAACAAGCTGCTAATAAGACAATCAACCAAAAATTGGGAGGAATATGAGAAAAGTTGAAGCAATAGGAATGCTTTGCCAACATTATCTACCTTAACAGATGGGGATCCAACAGGGCAATTCAGTACTTTCCCATCACTGCGTGCTCCACAGATGTCATACATGGCACAATATTCTTCGGAATGCCTTTTTCTAACCATTGGAAAAAGTTGCAATAAGATATCTGAATCTGATGTAGTTTATACTCTGAAACTAGTAGCTAAATAAGGATTCTTTAAGTTCAGCTATTCCTAGAACTCATGGCCTCGAGAAATAAGAGGAATGATATCTGGAAATTCAATACAACTGCACACATTACGTCAGTTTACCAGATGAATTCAAGATGATGAAATCAGAATTTGGGTGTAAAAGAAAATTACAGCATAAGAATGCAATTTCAAGAAATTTATCCACTAAATTTGATAATACATTGAGTTTTTTTTTTTTTTTTGGTCATTTTGAAAAGCATCTTTTTTTTTTTAATTCAAAACTAAAAACTATACCACAGAAAATAATAGTAATCAATACACATAAACATAATTTCACTCACCTTAAGCCAGCAGCAAGAATATAACTATAATTGTTACCGATATTTTTCAAGAAAGTAATTTTTTTTTTTCGAAAAAAAAAAGAAGAAGAAGAAGAAACCTACCCCTGCGTGGCATTTGCAGCTATAGAGCTCTCTGCATTTACTATAGATACGATAAACAACACCTGCAATCATATTCATTCCAAATCAACTAGAATTTCCAATAACTCTGCAACCCATTTGAAAATCAGACATCCTTAAACTTCAATTAATTTAAAAAGGACAAACAAACCCCGGAAATCCAAACAAACTCTTGCAGCAACTAACCTTAAACACAAAAACTACATAGCCAGACAGATGGAGGAATTCCATGTTTCTTCTGTGTTTTAATCCCAGTACAAAACAACGGGCTTTCAAGAGCACAATTGAAAATGAAATGGAAATGATTTTGGGTGTATTTATAATCTTTAGTAATACGATGGAATGTTTGGGAGAGAATTTAGTCAATACAAGAGTGTGTGTATATGCAGCTACATACAGTCAATACAGAGTTGGAGTCTCAAACTTCAGTTTTTTAAGGAACAAACTGGAACAAAATCATTTGGACGAAAATACCCTTGCTTTCGGTCACTTTGTCGGATTAGTTCTCAATGATGTTTTTTGCCTTTTTTCTACCCGTATCGCGTAATCAAAACGTATGATTATACTTCACTGTTGGCAAAAGGGCTTTTTGGTAATTTCATATGCCGTAGAATGTGAACTGAATATTTTTGTTGATTTGAGGCACACAGGAAACTTTTTATACCAACTTTGGTGACAGTGACGGACAATTTTCTGCACCTGGCTCAAAAAGATATGATTTGGATTTTTTTATAAATTATAAACTATTTTTGTTTTTTGAAATTAATCAATTACCCCCAAATGAAATGTTTGTTTGACTTACTGGATTATAATTGATTGTTTCTATATAAATTGATCTCCTACTCATTGTGATCAGAATATCGGACATATACTTTCTTTAATCATTTTGAATTTCTTGGAAGTTCTTCGTAAACTGAATTTTGTACGTAATGAAATTCAATGAGTTTAAGAATAGAGTAAATTTCGTGTTCTGATCTAAAGAAATTGAAAATATATATTCGTCGTTTATTTTTCTTAAATTTATTATTAGGATGTAAATAATTCTTATTTGAAAAATGGGAAGATGCTATAATTATACATTATATTCGTGATTTTTGCATTATCTTAATTTAGTAATTTTTTTTTTTTTTTTAATGAGAGATTTGACAAGGAAAAAATCATTAAATAAGTCAATTGTTGGTGTTCATTTCATTTTCATATGTATAAATATGCATGCAAATTTTGATAAAATTATGTTCAAAAAAGATAAGGGAAACTAAAATACTATAAAAATCTAATTATCGTTTTATATGCAAAAGAATTTTTTAAATATAATATTAGAGAAATTTACGAGCGAAATAATATACGCAAAACAATTTTTTTAAAAAAAATAAATAAATATCTTGTTAATTTCCCACTGCATAATTTAAAAAATTAAAAGATTTCTGCGGGGTGCAATTAGTTCATAATGTGAAAAGTTGTAAATTAATAAAGTTTCAATGTGAAAAGTTGGTCTTGGTTGAGATTGCATTGAGCCACTTTGAAAGCCAAATGGGCATTTTTTATTTTATTTTTATTTATTTATTTTTTGGGTTGGGGTGGTGGGAGTGCATTTTAGCATTTGGTCAAATCACAGTACACTTGTAAATTTTGTGCAGATGTTCAAATGCAAAATATGATTACTTTTCATGATTGTTAGAATATGGTTTGGCAATATTCACTTATCAAAATCATACCCACTCACTAATTTCCACCATGAATTGGGAGGTTCATACTTCCTACTTATAAAATGACAAGACTGTGATTTGGAATCTAGAAGTAGTTGTTCCAAAATTTGGCATTACCTCGAAAATATTCAATACTCGTCCTAAGCAATGTGAATGTACTTTTAATCGCGATAAGACATTCTCTGCACCATTGCTGCTTTTATCACTGAGAGATCATTTAAAGTTCTGATAAGAAGTAATAGCGAATCCGAATCCCACATTTTCACAATCAACGGTTTAGGCTAATGCCGATTGGATTCTCTTATCTTTACATTCCCACTTATACCTAATCGACCCTGAATGGCTTGTATTTTTTACTTATTGTCTTGGTTCAATTGGATAACTTCACTTTAATTGAATTTCAACCGGAAACTAGACTTTGATTTTATTTCAATTAAAATAACTCCATCCTTAATGTGACAATAATAAATTATGGTCATGTAAATATTAGTTGCTAAAGTGTATTTAAATGCAATTCTAGTAAAATAAATGATGACATTCATTTTTTTAATGTCGCATCATTGTTTTCCATCAATGCGCATGACAAAATTGGATGAAATTCTCATATTGAAATTGAGTTAAATTCAAGTTATTCAATTCAACAATATTGAAGTATAATTATATGATTGATTGTAAGTGAAAGTGTAGTTACCAAGAACAAAATTTTACCTAAATACTTTTTTATAACGTGAGGTTACGTCCTCGTATCTTATAAAAATTAAAATTATTCTAGATACTTAAAAAATAAAGATCTCAATTAAAATTAAAATTTATTTTTCACCATCTTCTTTTCAAAAACACATTATCCAATAAAATAATATTACACGTAAATCAAAATTTCTCATTTTTTAACCACATATTCTTTTTAAAAATACTATTCTAAAAATTATAATCTCAAATAATATGGTCAAACTAGGGCTTAGCCCCTGATTGTTTCACATTAATTTCACGGGGAAATGATTTTTTTGACCATTATTTTCAAAAAAGTGGGGCCCACTCTCACACAAATTGGTCAAAGAATTCAGCTACAACGGTATAAATTCTCCTTAGTAGTGAAAACATACAGGGGCTTAATGTTCATTGAATGTTGAAATTAAAAGGATCCACAAAACTCTCTAAATCAAAAGCTTATATCTGGATTTTGATCTTCCTCGTGTTATAATGAAGAATAAATTACATAAGATTTAAAAAAAAAAAAAAATTCATTTTTTATTAGAATAATATTATCTAACATCAATTTAGCTGCCATCATATCATATATAATATTATATGAATTATAATTTATTGTATTTAATTGAACTTGTAATTTATTGTTATAGCCCCCGTTTCGCCCCCATTATTCCCCATTAAATTATAATTTATTTTTTTCTCTTTTTTTCAACTATACATTTTTCAATAAAATAATATTACTCGTAAATATAAAAATATTTCTTTTTTTTTAACTACATATTTTTCAAAAAATTACTATTCTTCTTATTTTAATTTCAAATAATGGGGGCCAAACGTGAGCATAATATTGTCACTTCGATTAATGTTAAGGGTGTGTTTGTCTCCCAGTATTGGGAAAAAATTAGAGTAATGAATAGTATTTTTTGAAAAATGTGTACTTGAAATTTAAAGTATCTTTATTAGTTTGTGTGTATAATATTTTATTGGGTAACCCCAGTGTGGCTACGTAGCATTATTCGGCTAAATAACATTGCTATTTGGATTTAATTAATCAATAAATTCAGGGACATTTACGAAGACACACCAACTTGCTGACTCTTTTTAATGTGCATGAAAATCGAGAATCGTATTTAATGATGCATTTATTGTTTGACAAAGTGGTAGATAATCTTTAAGAATTCGATTTCGTATGGTACACATCGGGAGATTTTATGCAAATACGGGCCAAGAAAACTCAGCGAAAATGTATTAAAGAATAAAAATAAAAACGTGAATTTGAATAGATTTACACAAATTTCATAAGAATCTCATCAAATATGATAAAATTTCGAAAGATTTGATTATATGTATTTTTAAACTTGAAATCCATGCAAATCTCTTCAATTCATCTATTAATAAAATATTTATAAATCCACTAGTTATTGACGATGCCTAAATTTCAAAGGTTTTCATTGAATTTCATTAAAATCTCAATGAGAACACCCAAATTTAGAAGAACTTTTAAAATTCATCACAATTTCAATCGATGATACTTTTTTTAATAAAGTTGATATTTTAAAATAAAATTTTAAATCTTAATAATACGAATGGTTTTTTTTTTCTTTTTTCTTTTGTGTAAAATAGTGCACATAACGACGTAATATAATGAGTTTTTCTCTTTTGGTATCTTCATTTAATTCTACTCTATTCAGGGGTGATATACAAGAACAATTTGATTAGTGCATTACTCAAACAACCAATTCACCCATATAAATAGGTGTGGTCT